GTGTGTGTGTGTGTGTGTGTGTGAATTCTTAAATACAATGTATGACCCAGAGAAAGCAGAAGTTGATCTTTGTTCTTTTTTATTTTCTGGTGTACTGAGTATTCCTGAGATGAATCTGTTGTTTAAAGCTCTACCAATAGAATCGTGTCTTGTGCCGTAAGGTATATCTCACAGTTTCTCCCTCTCTCTCTCTCTCTTTTCAGTCTCTACGGCAGACACATGCAGGCAAATCCGGAACCACCGAAGAAAAATAATGACAAATCCAAAAAGATCAGCCGGAAACCCCTGGCGGCCAAGAATAAATAAGGGGTTGGCATGGCCTGGACTTGCGGTTGCTTTTCTCATTATTGCTTCTGTTCTCTCTTGCTCTGTCCCACAAATAATCACAGTTAGCCCTTGAACACGGATTTGAACTGAGCGGGTCCACTTATATGCAGAATTTCTTCAATAAATACTATAAATGTATTTTTCTTACGATTTTCTTAATGAGATTTTTTTTCTTTAACTTTATTATAAGAATACAGTATATAATACACATGCCATATAGAATATGTGTTAATAAACTGTTTATGTTATCAGTAAGGCCTGGTCAATAGTAGGTTATTAGTATTAAGTTTTGGGGGAGTCAGAAGTTACACCTGGATTTTCAGCTGCTTGAGGATTGTGGGGGTTGGCACTTTCCTTCCTAGTGCTTACCACCTTACCTTTTAATTTATTTTGGTAGGTGGTAGATTTTTATAAGTTCTTAAAACCATTTCCATTTGTTTCCTTAAAATTACCAAGGCAGGAAACAAAGCTCTAATTCAACTGCAAATTCCATAGTAAGCACAGGTTTCAGTTCCCTGAATAGATGTTCACAAAGCTGCTTATTTTCCAAAGAATAATTAAATCATGTAATCATTTAAATGTCACAGTTAACACTGTTCACTCTTCTGTTTATTCACATAACTTATTCTTTTGCTTTATTAAAAATGTTCCTTCACCACCGAGAGATTATGTTAACTTACAGATGATTTTAATAAAATCTTGAATTTGTATCACGTGTTGCTTCTTGAATAATGAACAATCTGACTTTGAGTGTATACACCTTTTTCCCCCAACGTTTTCTTGTCCACTTTTATTGGGTATAAATAATAAACTCTGAAACTTTCCATGAAATAAATACAAAATTGGAGCTAGTTTCTTCTCACATTGATTTGTCAGGTTTTGTTTTTTTTTCTTTGAAGACTGATGCTAATTTAGGAAGGAGCAGAAAAACAGATCTCTGGGAGATTCTGCCAAAGAAATTTTGGAAAGGAGCATTTCTTAGCTGAAGAAATGGTGACAAATGGTGACTTCTGCCCATGGCTGGTAGTCAAGAGCTGTGAAACAGAGAAAGGAAAAAACTCAAGTATGTTTCTTGTCACTGCAGAAAATCAGCTCATGTCAAAGCATTCTTCTAAGGGGATTTAGTGATGCCAAAGAAGTGTGAATGTGCACACTCTACCCCACACCCATGTAGAAACTGCTCTCGCAGAGTCATCCAACACCAATTGTTTAACAGCTGTGATAGGCAGCTTTGTTCTTATCAACAGTAATACATGTGTGAGTGAAAATACAGCCAAGCAGAATTTTTGTGCTAAGAGGGCTGCCAACACTGGAATGCCTGGAAACAAAAGGTGTGTGAAGATGTGACATACTTGGGTGGCAGTGGGTCTACACCAGCATCATCTCCTTTCACAGTTGACTCCCCAAGGCGAGGACCTCTGGAACATGCAAAAAGCCAAAATCAAAACACAACAAAAAACCCTGAGTTACTTAGGAAATGTATGAATCAGAGAGGCTGCCAGTCATGATCTGCACTTCTTATTTCTGGGTCACTCCCTGGTGGTGCACTTGCTTTGGGAAGAGGAGTCCCCAGGTGCCACCACCTGTTGGGGAGTAGGGTTGATGTAATTTTTGTAGGTGCAGTCTTTGCTCAGCCTAATTTTTTAAATTGATTTTTTAGCTCATGAAATTGCAGGAAGAGCAGTGCTTCTGTTGTTGATTAGAAAGACATCATCTAAAATTAAACTATAACAAAGCAAAATAAAATTTATGTGATACTTAGTTTAATGTGATATTTAATAAAAATATCAATATACTCTTATGAATAATTTTTTAAAAGATGAGCACTCTAGGTAGAAATGTGGGTAATACACATAAATCTACAAGGAGGAAATATCTCTAAAAAAATGTGAAAAGTCCAGACTCACTAGTAATCAAAAAAATACAAATCAAAATCAAGAAATGTGTAACAATGAAAAATGTGCAGTAATTTTTAAGATAGTCTTAAGTGCTAGAAGAGTAACATGAGATAAATATTCTTATGCAATGCTATTGGGGATATAAATTTCTCTCCAGATAAGTGGTACCAATTTGACAATAGGTAACAAAACTTTTTTCTGCAAAAGATAAGACATTTCTATTTAAAGATAATAGTTTTGATAACTGGGAAGAATAATCTAAAAGAATGGAACAAAGAGGTGTGAATATTTCTCCTTTTTAAGAGTTTTCTATATTTTTTTTCTGTATCTGATTCAATTTTCTAGTGTTAATTCTTTTTTTTAATTTTCATTTCCCACCCTCTCCCCCTTGGCAACCATCAGTCAACCTGTCCTTTATATCTGTGGATCTGTTTAGTTTTGTTTCTTCATTTATGTTGTTATTTTTTTTAGATTCAACTTATAAGTGGGATCGTGCAATATTTGTCTTTCTCTGACTTATTTCACTTAGCATAGTACCCTCTAGGTCCATCCATGTTGTTGCAAATGGCAAGATTTCATTCTTTCTATTGCTGTATAATATTCCATTGTATATGCATACCACATTTTTCTCTCTCTCTTGATCTAGATTGCTTTCATCTCTTGGCTATTGTAAATGGTGCTGCAATGAACATAGGGGTGCATATATCTTTTTGAATAAGTGTTTTTGTTTTCTTCAGATAAATGCCCGGAAGTGGAATTGGTAGATCATATAGCAGTATTTTTAAAATTTTGAGGATCCTTCATGCTGCTTTCCATAGTGGCTACACCAATTTACAACCCCATCAGCAGTATATGAAGTTCCCTTTTCTTCACATACCTGTCAGCACTTTTTATTTGATTTATTGATGATAACCATCCTGATAGGTTTGAGGTGATAGCTCATTGTGGTTTTAATTTGCATTTCCCTGATGATTAGTGATGTTGAGCATCTTTTATATAAGCCTATTGGCCATCTGTATGTCCTTTTTAGAGAAATGCCTATTCAGGTCCCCTGCCCATTTTATAATCAGATTTTTTTTTTTTTGGTGCTAAGCTGTATGAGTTTCTTATATATTTTGGATATTAACCTTTTATCAGATGTATCATTCGCAAATGTCTTCTCCCATTCAGTAGACTGTCTTTTCGTTTTGTTCATAGATTCCTTTGCTGCGTAATTTTTTTTAGTAGTCCAATTTGTTTATTTTTTCTTTTGTTTCTCTTGCCCAAGGTGACATATCCAAAAAGATATTACTAAGATCAATGTCACTGGTGGACACAGGTTGTTTCCATATGTTGGCTGCTATAAACAATGCTGCTGTAAACACAGAAATGCACATATCTCTTCAACATAGTGTTTTCTTTTTCTTCAGACGTATTTCCAGAAATGGAATTGCTGGATCATGGGGAATTCTATCTTTAACTTTTTGTGAAACCTCTATACTCTTTTCGATGTTGGCTACACCAATTTACATTCCCATCAACAGTGCACGGGGGTCCCTTTTGCTCAACATCTGCACCCCATCTCTCATATCTTGGGTTTTTTTTATGGTAGCCATCCTCACAGGCCTGAGGTGATGTTTCATTGTGGTTTTGATGTGCATTTCCCTGATGACAGTGATGTTGAGCACTTTTTCCTGTGTCCGTTGGCCATTATCTTCTTTGGAAAAATATCCGTTCAGGTGTTTTGCCAATTATTTTTTTACATTCTTTGTTTTGTTAATGACGGGTTATGTGAGTTCTTTGTATATTTAGGCTCTTAACTCCTTAACAGATACATGGTTTGCAAATATTTTTTCCTGTTCCATAGGTTGTCTTTAAATTTTGTTGATTGTTTCTTATGCTGTGCAAAAGCTTTTTAGTTTGATGTAGTTCTACTTGTGTGTTTATTTTATTTTGTTGCTTGTGCTTTAGGTGTCATATCCAAACAGTCATTGCCAAGAACCATGTCAAGGAGCTTTTTTCCTGTCTCTTCTGGGAGTTTTATGGTTTCTGATCTTGTATTTAAGTCTTTAATCCATTTCAAGTTAATTTTTGTGAGTGTAAGATAGAAGTCTAGGTTTATTCTTGTACATGTGAATATCCAATTTTCCCAGCACCATTTATTGAAAAAACTATTTTTTTTTTCATTGAGTATTCTTGACTTCCTTGTCAAATATTAGTTGAACATATACGCCTGGGTTTATTTCTGGGCTCTTGATTCTGTTCCATTGGTCTATATGCCTTGTTATGTCAGAACTTTACCGTTTGATTACTATAGTTTTATTTGGTAGCTTAAAATCAGGAAGTGTAATGCCTCCCTCTTGGTTCTTTCTTGAGATAGCTTTGGCTATTCAGGGTCCTGTGTGATTAAATATAAGTTTTAGGATTGTTTTTTCTACTTCTGTAAAAAATGCCATTGGAATCTTGATCTGTATTGCATTGAATCTATATATATGGCTTTGGGTAGTATGGACAATACTCTAATCCATGGGATACCTTTTTTTTGTCTATTTCAATTTCTTTCATCAGTGTCTTAGAATTTTTAGTGTAGAGATCTTCTGCTTTTTTGGTCGTATTTATGCCTAAGTATATTATTGGAGTTTTTTATGATATTGTAAATGAGATCTTTTTTTAACTTTATTTTTCAGAAAATTCATTGTTACTGTATAGAAAGCTACTGATTTTTGCATGTTAATTTTGTATCCTGCAACTTTACTAAGCCAGTTGATTAGGTCTAATCATTTTTGGTGAGTTTTGCTGAAAATTATATATATATACACACACACACAATACATAGTATGAGCTTACAACCATATTCTAGATGGAGAGAGCTATACATGAATGACTAATGCCTAATTTGAGGTCACAATGTATCCGGGTAGAACAGAAACCAATAATAATCTGGCTGCTGGCCCGGCCACCTGTAAACATCATTTCTCAGACTATTTTGGTGAAGCTGTGCAGGTTCTTTTGCAGTTGTCTCACACTGCCCAGAGCACTTTGGATTTTGTGTTTGGGCCCTTCCTCTAGACTCATAAGTAAGTTGGGGTGCAGGGCCCCTCCAGTTCACACTTCTACACAACAGCTCTCTAGTTACTTAAGGACAGTTTTTAAATAATTAAGTATGCAACAATTAAGGCATTATAAGAGAAACCAAAGTCAGGTAAAAGTTGGAAATTTTACAGGTTTGAGTACAGCCTCACCTATCATAGAGCATATTAGGCACCTAGATATCGTTGGATGAATGGGCGCCGTTTCCACTGGGTAAGCCTAGTGTCCTGTTGCTATTTTCCCCAAACATTGATACATGTTTCAGAAATGGAGAGGCCGTGTCTCATAGGGATGTGCGGAGACCTGAAGAACTGGGCCGTATGTCTAAGAAGCTTGCAGGCGCAGGGATCAGGAATGAACCGAGCAAACAGGTCGGGTAAGAATGCAGTGTTACCAGGAAAGGCCTCTAATAAGGAAGGTGGCTCATCCCTGCTCTGCGCGGAATGCGTCAGCTCCTCGGGTAAGGACTGAAGGAGCCGTTAGTGCCACCCCGGACGGTCCACGCTGCCCCCCGAGGTCAGGACTGCTCCCCACACCGGAGAGCAGCCTGGGCTTCGCACTCACAGAACCAACTTGGTGTGTCTCGGGAGACCCCGTGTTCTCGCTGCCGCCCTGCATGCTCCGGAGCTGGCATCTTCTGGGCACAGGTGTTGTCGGCGCAACTGGCTGGTTCTTGCCCCAGGAGGAAAGCGGCTTCCACGGGCAGACAGCTGAAAGTAGGGAAAGTGGCCCAATCCACTCATAACTCCCCCGGAGTACCACCCAAAATATCCCTGCCACGCCAGGCAGACGGTCTGGCCGCCTGTGTGGGCCGCTGTATCTGTCACTGTGCAGCCAAGGATTGGAACAAAGAGCCACTTCTTCAATCACACCGCAGCTGTGAG